ATTTGCCCAATCCATATTCAGTGCTGAGACTCAATTTGGTCAAAGCAAGTCGCCACTTGGGGAACGGACAAGCCATCACGTCATCCTCCGCAAATACCAGAGGGCCAGATGAGCGGGCAATCATCACGCGACAGTCCACCTCGCGTGGTGAAGGTTCGACAGGTCAGAACCGCCATGCCGAACAACAAACTGTCCACGCAAAAAAGGCAATTAAGGCTAACTGTCGTTGCATGTTTGCAGTAATGACTGTGTCCTATAAATACTGCAAACCCCTGTGCATCTTTTACTGGTTTCTGCTAATGTCTCTGATGATGAATCCGCGACGGGAATCGAAACGTCAGACAAATAAAGGTATTGTCCCGGCGATCGAGTCGTCTTTTTTCTCACTTACCTCCTGGGACTCGCATTTTCGCTTGCATTGACATCGTTTATACTGCTTAGGCGATAGCACTTCTGTCGGCTCTATCATCGCCGGGTAAAAGCTTGCCTTTTGTTCCATCTCTTTTCCCCTTTTTGGTATCTTTCTCCAACTCGATTGTCTTTTACCACGCACAGTACTATCCGGCTTCTCGTCACGGCATCCGCGAGGACGACCACTTGCTTGCCTGCATTCTTAGCTTTCTTGACCGAACCATCCGCTCGCCGCTGACCCCCGCCGCCGCCGCTCCACGCGCCAGCACCCTTTCGGCAACAACAACGACGACGAAGACGTCACATGAAGTCAGGACAGCCAGTTAGGTGTTTTCTCTTCTCCTCAACCCCAGCCCCCCACCTTCCTTCCTTAAACGCACACGCACGCATGTCTTTCTCGAGCATGATGACACCTGCTGCTGTTGCTGCTTTTCAAAACTTTTTCTCCTTCTTTACGCCTCTCTTTCTTTTTGTGCCGCTAATAAATACTGTTCTAGCCTGTACTACGTTTTCAGTGTCGTTTTTGGATCACCAATGGTGGAAGATTTTGTTTAATTCACCCTACTTAACATTTGTAAGTAGGTGGTTATTAATAAATAAGGACCCTTGTGCGACCCCAGTAGGTACTCTTACCCACGAACGAAGGCGACTTGAGCGAGGAGGGGGAGAGTGGTGATGCTGATGAAGAAGAAGAAAAAGAAACGTTAGGTGGGTTAAGGTCAAGTCAAGTTTATTAAGGGAAATATAGGCAAACGCCTTTGAACTCCCTA